ACAGAGAAATTAAAGCTTATTGACTAGTTAGGTTCCTGTTCTAAAATCTAAAATTGCATGTTAACATTAAACTAAAAATGGTAATTTTTTTAGGAAAAATGAAAAATGTAATCTTTCAGAAGTTTCCTGACTCAAAATGCTTTTTTATTCAGTTCATCATTGTTTAAAGTATATAAGCTCATTTCCTTGGTCTAGAATAGAAGTTCTTCAAATTAGTTTCAAAAACAATGAAACACTTACAAAAACATAGACACCAACCACAATACTACTGGCATATTTTGTTCTGTAGTGGCTAAAGCAGAACTTTTTAAATAGGTTAAAATTAATATATATCTTGCTGCTTTATAACAAATGCTAAATTAAAATAAGAATTTTACATAGCTGTTTTAAGTGCTAATATATTTAAATTTTGTGCATACCTTTATTGCCAATAATGTAACAGAGTGGTCCCCAGGAAAAGGGGAGATTCCAGATTCCCTGCCCCACTCAGAAGGAGGATGGAGCTGAGAAGGGAGGAAAAGAATCTGGAGAGGAGATGGAAGCAGACGATTGCAGTATAGGGAGCCAGACAGAGAGCTGAGGGAGCACATGGAGCAGAGACATGTGAAGAAGCTTTGTCTTGTTTCTTGGTCCTAGACTGGTTGAAACAGATGTGGGTAAGGGATCTGTGTGAATATCAACTATGGCAGCATTTATCTTGATTTTGCCCTTTTCCTCCCAGACTTGTCTGGCCATTTCTGACCCTTTTCTATGGGTCTCTGCCAGAAGGTGCTTTAGACTTTTGGAGGTCTTTCAGGCCTTGCTTTGAGCCAATCCCTTTTGGATAGACTTTTACCCACATGGGGATGGGTAACCTAGAGTGTTTGATTTATAAACTATATTCTTTATATTTTCCGTATTGCACACTGATTATATTAAAGTTACTTTCCATTAAAGGTCTTAAATGTTTTCTCTTGATGTGGTGGATGGATCCTATTTAAAGCTGGCAGGTTTGGGATTCAGGGGTGTCCCTCTCCCTGCCCAGTAACAATACCTCCCATAACCAAAAAGTGCCAGAAACTGATAAATAGCTAAATTAATTAAAGGAGAAACCAGCAAAATCTATTAGATATAACTGTCATGTTTGCTTATTTATCCATCTGATTTCTTTGGTTTGCACATTCAAGTAAATTTAGTCCTGTTAGTTCTGAAGTCATGTAAGTTCTATAGTTTTGTTAATCAAATTAATTTGCAAATCATCAATTGAAGATGTAAATCTATACATATATATACATATATATACATATACACACACACACACACACACACACATATATATATATATATATATATATATATATATACCATAACTTAGTTTTGAAGAACGAGCAGAAAGATCAAAAAGTTCTGTTCACCTGGCCTGAATGTGCTTGCGGGCCCGTAGGGAGGGTTTTGTCCTGTAAGGTAAGAATCACAAGGGTCAGGCACACTGAGCCCTGACACTGCAGAAAAGAACACAGTCCACCTGCTGGCTTGCTGGCCAGTGCACCAAGAAAACACAGAGCACAGCTTGCAAAGTGCTGGAGAGCCATCATATGGGAAAGCGAGAGACGTGCTTAGCATTAGTTGAACCTAATGTCCTGGTCAGGGAAAGGTCAGAGTCTGGGCAAGTGCAGGAACAACACGGTCACATTAACTCCTATGCCAGACTTCAGGGCCCCTCCAACTTGTGGATTCAGTTTCTTTTTAATTATTGGCATACCAAGGGGACTTTTGTTTCTTGTGAATAAGGATGACAAACAAATTAAGCTTTAGCAGGTGCAACAAGCTTATTTTGTTCTGATCTAAAACAGTCCTAGCTGAGATGAAACTTGCCAAAACAGAGCTGTAGTCAAGGGAGGAACTCTTTCTTCTTCCATATGAAAACTTCTGGGTGTAGTTCTTAATTACAGAGATGCACAAGTTATGTGATGGTGGTAACACTTTATGTTAAATTTAAAGTGACTCCTAAGGCAGACACCGATGCTTGCATTGTTTTTGATAAAAGAAATCTCAAACCTTGGTATGTGAGTTCAGAGTTGCCAAAGTTTGAAGTTTCCATCCAAGAAAGTTTAATGGCTCTCTGCCATTTGAACAGTTCTCTAGAGCACATGGATTCAGCTGCTTCACTAAGCAGTACCATGGTGCCGTTTCTGAAGGGGATAATGAAATTTCAACAGAGAAGACTGTGTCTGTACATCGAAACTTAGACTGGGAGGAACCAGATTTCCCACCACGGTAACAGGAAGGAGGCATTAATATGCTAATTTGAATCTGAATTCAGTGTCCTTGCTCTTTTGATTTTGTATTAATTCTCTCATTCATGCCCATGCACACATCAATTGGAAATCCTTTAATGGAGTGGACAGCCAGCTGTCTGAGGTGGTGAGGTCTGGTCTCTCACAGAGGAAGAGACAGATTAGGTGTTCTCCTGGGGATCTAGCCAATCAGAGTTCCAGAAGCACAGCTTATCTCACACAAACTTGGTTTCCCCTAGAGAACCTTTAAAGGAGGTTTTATTTTTGCCAAGATATTCTTTTGGTTGTTAGCTTAATTAATAGTGATCCAAAGGAACCAAAAGAAATTATTTGTAGTCATGTGTGAATGCCGATGTCCTTCCCTCATTTTGTGAGGGTTTTATATTAGACTAGAAACTTAATAACTCAGAAACAATTTAAAAAATCACTGACTTATGGAAGGAAAAATAATGTCTGTGTGGTGTGAGGTTTTTGTTTCCTCCTGTTTTATAATGTTCTTTAATTATAAAATTGTAAGATTTAAATACTTAGAATCCAGCAGTGCTTATTATGTCTATATGTATAAGTAGCATTTCTCTAGAAGGTGAAAGTAGCTCTGTAATATTTTAGAATTCCACCTTCAAAAAAATTAAGATTCCATTATATGACAGGCCATGTGAAGAGCTATGATGAAAAACTAAAATAAGAGGGCATAGTAATTAAATGGATTTCATTTACAGGGGAGACAGACATATGACCAACTACAGCATAATTGTTTAATTGCTAAAATAGAATTATGCATATTCTGTACTTGGTGCATGAAATAAGTAGAAATCAAAGAACATTTTACAGAGAAGGAGCCATCTGAATTAGAACTGAAAGTTTGCACAGAACTGAGAAAATGTGGGTGTGGGATTTCTAAGTTGAAGGGACGATCAGGCAGAGATGCAAAGGTACTAAAAGAGTAACAGTGTGCTGTGGACCTTTAAGCATTTTTCTATAACTAGAATAAATTTCAAGGGGAAATTACTGTAGATCACATTGCATTGATAAGCAAATATCAGATCATTAAAGCAGTAACATTTCACATACACCTACTATGTAACAGGTACCATGTTAATACCATACCATTGCCTTGTAACTGGCCAATGGTATAATCACATTTAATGTCAGCAAATTTACTCAGAGACAAAAATCTGAATCTGAAGTTTGAAGAGGCTAATAATATTGTATTAATAAGTGTAATAATGTATTTTTTAACACAGATGCTTATTTCAAATTTGAATTTTATTTTTTGTTTATTTATTTGTTTTGTCTTTCTCCTTCCCATGTTCTTACTGGGATAATAACCTTTTCTCTCATGATTTTAAACATCACTTCTACCAAGGGGCTTTCTGCAGACATACAAACTACATATGGTCTCATTTTGTACATTGACATACCACCCTGAATATTTTTTTCAGAGCAATTATACTAAAGTTGATTAACTGTCCTAGTAATTATTTGTTTAGCATCCATCACCCATGAGTTTGTTGACATCATACTACTGGCAGGGATGGTGTCTGTCTTGTGCAGCAACCTTTTAAGCACAGGGCAGGTGCTCTTTCTATATATTTGTATATATAAATGACAGGTAAGGAATGCTACATTGGCATAATGGAGATGGGTAAAAGGAATATTAAGAGAATAGGCTAGAAAAGCTGGCAAGAGAACAAAAGTGGAAAATACAGATGAATCCTGGATGAGTCCCATGTTCTTAGCTTGGATAATTTGAGTTACCATTTATAAAAGTTATGACTAAATTGTGGGGTAGGCTTATGTTTTAAATTTGAACTCTACTGAATTAATAAATGACTAAATTAAATCTTGTCTTCAAAATGATTTGTTGTTTTCCCAGTATATTTTTAAAACTTTTAGTGTGACATGTATTTGCACAATATTAACATATATTACTTAAATTTATTATTCTTTGCTTCAGTATCAAAAGATTTTCTCTGCAATTTTATTGTTCCTCTAACATTCAACTGTGCTTCTTTGGCTTGTAGCATGATACGTATATATTTGAACTATTAAATTGGAGTTAGAAATTTGGTAAAGCTGAAGGATATTCTTATCTTTGCAGTGAGATATTCATTTATACATACATACATATGTTTGTGTATATGTGTGTGTGTGTGTGTGTGTGTGTGTGTGTGTACAGACCATTCAATTGAAGTTATAAATTAAAAAAAGCTGAGGGATAGTCTTATCTTTTGCAAGATTCTTATCTTGGTTTGGGTACAGGTTCTTTTTTTTTTTAAGATTTATTTATTTGTGCATACAGAACTGGGGTACAGGCCAGAGGCTCAGGGGCGGTGAGAGGTTTCACCAGAGACAGAGTGGGGAACAGAACAGGCAGATTGACGAAGTACACTGCTGAGGGGAGCAGCGTGCGGGTCAGGAGAGGTCTGCCACACCATGTGGTCACCTCCAGGGCAGGCGGGAATCGAACTCATGCAGAAGCGGCTTTAGATTCTCAATGCTGTGCTTTAACCCACTGCACCACCAGGGAGGGCCACAGGTTCTTTTCTTAGAAAGAAAATTAAAAATCTACCATTATCTTAACATTTAAAGCCCCTTACTATATAAACCTCTTGCCAGCTCAAAAAAAGATTTCTAACGGTAGCAGATAAGGAATTGAAATTAAGTATGCTATGTAATCATTTAATTCATTCAAATTAAAAATACTGTGGTTTTTTTTTTCAGTTACGCACAGAGAAAAAGAAAAAGACAAAGAAAAAATAAAAGAAAAACCTGAAAAGAAAGGTATGTAGTTATTTTTATCAATGTTTTTTCATCTTGGTTCTTTTAACTTAGTAAACCTCTTCTTATTTACATCAAAGTTAACAGGACTAAAAATTTAAAATATATATATTTTATAAAACTTTCCTTAGAATTCTAACTTTAAAGAGTACTGTTTTGAAATTGAAGGAAGTAAAATGTTTGAGGCTCTTGAATTGTGTTACCTATTTATATTCTAGAATTTTTCCTTATTTCCTTTGACAGGTAGTCATTATTTATATTTTGTTCAAGCTTAAAAAAATTCTTATTTTTTTACTCTGATAACAATTTCATTAATATATGATATGAAGAAAATTTTAATTTAATTCTTGCTCTTGTTTTCAAATGGATCATGTCTGGAATATATCTGGGATTTATGTTTTCACAATATGCACACCCTGATGAGTTACTTTATTTGTGAAGTATTCCACTTGACTGGACTTTTTGGTGATACCTAGAAATCTAGCCATTTTAAACGTGCTCCAGTCTTCCTTATTCAATACTTACACTTGAAAACTTGAGTTAAAAAGTTACTATTTAACTTAGTAATAATATAAATTAATTTCAATACAACTATCTTTGTAACAGAAATGGGTATCCATTGTTCATCTGTGATTGAGTTACCTAGAATTACTGCCTCAAACTCTGGGAACTTTAACTACATGAAATATTCTGGTATTTCTTACACTTTTTTTTTTTTTTTCAAAACTTGCATTGGCTAAATATTTTTATTAAAAACTGAGAATTTGTTACCCCTAGATCATAAATGTTTCAGGAAATTTGTCCAAATTGAAAATCAGAAACAAATTGACACACTAAATGTTCCTTTTATTCCCTGTGCATCAATTAAAGGAGTTTGTCTCTTATGTGATAAATTATTATACTGTAACCCCATGAATTCGTGTTAATAGTGTCCTGCTTGGCTTTATGGAATACTTCTCTAACAATCTATTATCCATAATCCCAAATCTAGTAAAAATGACTGTGGTACAGGCTGAACATTAGAGAGGATGAAACCCTGGAAAGGGTTTGCGAAGCTTACCAGGTAACACTGAATCTTCCAGGGTCCCCCGGTCTTCACTGGGCAGTGTACCTCAAACTTTCTATGTTTATTTATTTTTTTTAGATTTATTTGTTTATATAAGAAGTAGGGTGCCAGCCAGAGGTGCAGGGGATGAGAGGATTCACCAGAGACTAAATGGGGAGCAGAACAGGCAGAACTACTGAAATACACTGCTGAGGGGAGCAGTGCACAGCTCAGGAGAGTGCTGCACTGTGTGGGTCAGCTCCTTGGCCGGGGATTGAACTTGTGCTGAAGCTGCAGATAGCTTCATAGTTCGATGCCTTAATCTGTTGTGCCACCAGGGAGGGCCCCTGTGCCTCAAACTTTCTATGAGACTTGTATCAACTTCAAAATTCTGGTGAAACAATTCATAGACTGTATCTTAAAGAAATATTATTTTAAATGCACCTTTTAATTACATTTTTTCTTTTTATACCATCTTGCTGTTAGATTTACTATTCTTATATAGTTGGAGAAATGGAAATAATTGGGCCTCCAATTTTTTGTTTTAATAATTTGGCTTTTTCCTGGACCCAACTGTTGAATTCAGTGTCTTATTTAATTTCCTGTACTTTCTTAAATTCTATTATTACTCTTTAATAAATGTATGTGATGGATGATGGTCATTTGGGGAAATTACCAAGCCACACAGTTTTGTATAAGTGAAATATAAGAATAAGAGTAAGAAGTGCTTTCAGAACTTCTCAAGCTATTGAATAACAAAAGGTTTCTCTGGTTTATGTAGGTAATAACAAAATAAATAAATTAATTAATATTAGTTTATGAGGTTTTTTTGCATGAATAATGAGAAGATATACTAAAGTTTTATGTATCATATTATATATCGTTTAGTTAAAAAGCTGTACTCTGTCATTAATAATCTTTTAATATTATTTTGTATTCTGTTCATGGTTTTCTATCAAAGATGCTCTCCTATATTTGAAGTTTTTGGCTGTCAAAAATCAGTGGAGTGAAAGCAGGATGTAAGCAGGAACCAGGGAAGCTAAGCACTTATTCAATGAATAGAGCAGCCTCTTCCAGCTAGATTTATTAGTTGTGCCATTGTTGACAAATACTGCATCTTACTATTTAATCAAAATTCTAGTCCTCATTTAAATTATTTTTTATTAATCCTAAAGAGAGGACTTCTTCCTGGTAAAATGATGAATCTTTTGACCAATTTTTAGAAAATCACTTTCTTTTAGTTTAACTTTTCTGCAAACTTTGTTATTACTTAAAAAATATGGTTGGGCCCTCCCTGGTGGCGCAGCGGGTTAAAGCACAGCACTGAGAATCTAAAGCCGCTTCCACATGAGTTCGATTCCCGCCTGCCCCGGAGGTGACCACATGGCATGGCAGACCTCTCTTGACCCGCCCGCTGCTCCCCTCAGCAGTGTACTTCGTCGATCTGCCTGTTCTGTTCCCCGCTCTGCCTATGGTGAAGCCTCTCACCGCCCCTGAGCCTCTGGCCTGTACCCCAGTTCTGTATGCAAAAATAAATAAAGCTTTAAAAAAAAAAATATGGTAAGGCTAATTTTCAAAATCCTTTCTAGTATTAATGCCAGGTCTCTGAATTTAGTTTCTACAGTTATTATTAATTTAGTATCTCTGGATTCTTGAGTTGGACTTACTGATTTCTTGACGGTATTTCATGTTTTGGGTTGGCTGTAAAATTGCAGTAAAAAATTGGTGTTAAAGTCTACTAATCGCAGTAAAAAATTGGTGTTAAAGTCTATTAAAAGTGTGTGCTAATATTATTTTTTCTATTTAAGCAACTCAAAAGGAAAAAACTGAGAAAAAAGAAAAATCAGAAACAAAGGCAGTTGCAAAAGGTACTTTGTTTTCTTAACAAAATTCTTTCTACTTTATAAAACTACATTTTTACTAAGATAACTTGATGATTGCAAGAATTTCATTTACAGAAAACTTAACTTCACCCTACTATTTCACTAGTTTCATATAAAAAACACCTTTTTTCTATGTAATAAAGCATTCACAGGGATGACATCAAATTCTGCTCCACATATGATGAAGCACTTCATGTTCTTATTTTTCAGTCCCTATTTTAAGTTTTATATTTTATTGTTAGTTTAGAATTCAATAATAAAGATTCTTAGTACATTTTTTAGCTGAAAGTCTATTTTATCTGATATAAATATGACCGCTCCTTCCTTTTTTGGTGCCACTGCTTACGGGATTGATTTCCAACTATTTGAGCCCGTGTTTATTTTTGGAGGATAGATGGATCTCCTGGAGACAGTAGAAAGTTGGATTTTATTTGCTGATCCAAGCCAATCAAAGTTGTCTTTTGATTGGTGAGTCTTGTCCCTTTACATTAAGGTAATTATTATTAATGTATGAGGGCTTGCTACTGTCAATTTGTCAGGTAGTTAGATATGTCCCTTTTTCTGTCAGCCTTGCTTTATGCTCCATATGAACATCAATATTTTTGTTTAATTTATTTGAAAAATATAGTTAGTATTTTGATGACTTGCATTAAATTTATATATTGCTTTTGTCAGAATGGTCATTTTGATTATACTGATTCTCTTCACCCCTGGAATATCTTTCTGTGTCCTCATAATGCCATCTAAATCCTTTAAAAACATCCCATATTTTTTATTTTATAACTCTTTCACTAATTGGTTAGGTCAATTGTGAGATATATGCTTCTTTTTGGAATAAGTATGACTGTAATTATTTCATCAATTTCTTTGTCTTCTCATTCATTTGGCAAATGACTTTTTCATTCTTAGGTTTCTAATATGTAAAATGAGTATTATATTGTAGCAAATTCTGCTATACACTAAACTTGCTAAGTTCTCGGGAAACTCAGAGTATACAGGGTAGATATGGAGAGTATGAATACAATATTACAAATTTCTATGTACTTACTTTGCAGGTTCCAAACTCATTTCCTCAAATTAGTTTACTCAGCTGCACAATTTCCTAAAATGAAGAGAGACAGATATAGTGGTGATTTTTTTTTTAATACAAAGAAATTGAAGCATAGAGATTAAGCAGTTGTCAAATCTTGAATGAATTAGAGATGAAATTTGTAATAGCCTATTCCAAAAAGTTTAGTATCTCTCTAGTATGTATTTATATAAATATAAATATATAGTATATTTAATTTACTGGGTAGTAGTGCTCTTACACTTGGCATAAGACACTTTGATTCTTACATAATCACTAATGAACAATGGGTAATGCTGATGTCATTCTTTTTATTAGTCCATTTCATGTTCCATTTGGCAAATCATGACTTAAATTCATATGTAGATCTTGCTGATTTGAAAACATGACTATACTTCTTGTTTATTCATTACTTAGAGATTCAAGTGTAAAGTCACATAATTTTTTTTTTTTTTCAGAAAAACTGGGCTAGGTTTTTTGAATGACTCTTAAGATCTTTCAGTTGTGAACCAAATGGTTATTTCCTTTTAAAAGTGTTCCTTTGTTGGACTTATGGTATGAGCATTGTCTTTCACTGAACTTGTTTCTATATAAATCCTGGGCATACTTCAGAGGCCTCCTGTTAACATGAAAATTCTCCAACAACATACAAAATGATAGTTTCATGTTCAAATTAAGAAAGAATCCAAATTTAAATGAGTTACTTTTTTTTTCAGTTGTGTGATATGGCATTCCCTAGACTCAGATAATAGTCATAGTATTTATGTCAACAATACTCTACTTTATCATATTTTTTCATTCTTTAAATTACTCTTAGCAAACAATGGTAGATGGAATGATATATTGGAAAAAAACAAAAATAATCTTAACTTTTCTATAATGTTATACAGAAGAGAAGAAAGTGAAGAGTAAGGAAAAGACTGAAGAGAAGACTAAAAAGGAAGTAAAAGGAGGAAAACAAGAGAAAGTGAAGCAAACAGCTGCAAAAGCAAAAGAAGTACAGAAATCACCTAAATCCAAAGAGAAGGAAGAGAAAGAGACTGCAGGTGTATCTAAACCTGACCAGAAAGGTAAACATTAAGAGGAGGAGATTGGAATTTCTAATCGATTGGGCAGAGCAGATGCAGTAAAATTAAAATTGAAAAGACTAAGATGAGACTTCAGATGGGAATAAAAGCCTTGCGTAGGTATAGATACCCAAAACAAAACAAAAAATAATAAATTGGCTATTAAAACTTTAGTTTTTCTACTTGTAGAAATACTAAAATATATCTACATATCTAGTGATGCAATTAGAAATATCTTTAAAGGTGAATGTCAGTATCTAGTATTTAAAGGTTGAGGATAAATGCTGAAGATCTTGAGCTATGGGAACTCTATAAAGAGGTGGAACAAAAATTGTGTGTGTTATGCTCTTTGGGAAATTGCATTCCAGAGAAATGATGAAAATCTCACATTTTTTTAAAGGGGTGTATGTTCAATTCTTATAGAATAAATGTCATAAAAGCTATCCATACATTCCTGTTTCCTCTGTGAGAGCACATAATTTAGCATATAGATTAAATTATTAAACTCAGTAAACTTAATAAGAAAAAGTGACAGGAAAATGAATTCTCAAGTTTCATTCTTGCTCCTATTGTCTGAATTTATTACTTTAGAAACTCTGTACCTTACATATTGTACTGTCCTTCAAGAAGAGTATATCTTTACATCCTGACTTCACAAAAATAAAGCATTTAAATGGAGGTAGAGTACACATCTGAAATTATTTATGGAAAGGTGCTATATAAATATGAATGGTAGAATTTTTAGGAAGTGGCTGAGGGCATCCTTGTCTCATTTTCTGCCCTTGTTGAATCCTCCTTCCTACATCAATTCCTCACTCCAGGGGAGTAGCTGCTGCACAATCCTGAGGCTCCCTGTCCAGAAGGTTCTATCCCTTTGCATGGCAAGAATGTAGTTTTAAAAGGAGTGTGAGGAAAGGCAGAAGAAAGTAAATATTTTGTTCCATATCTTAATGAACCACACATTTTTTACTTAGGTGGTGATTATTTATTTCAAGGTAATTTTTAAAACATGAGTGGAATTTAATTTTTTGGATTCCTAACATTTTCCTTCAATGCTGAATATGATTATATTGCCTTGAAAAATTAAAAATGTTAATTATTGTACATCTTAAAACTATGTAATGAATTACTTTGGGTAGTATAAAGGAAAGTGGCTATTTTCATGTTAGAAAACAAGAAAATTGATATTTTGACTCACTGATATATTTACTTATTTAAAATGTGTATAGAGGTTTTAATATATTTTAGATTGCCCTTTAAAAATTAAAATAATTGCAAGAAAGCAGCTGAAACCATATTAAGTATACTTCTTTTATTTTTCATCCAAAATACAGCATACAAAAATGTTATTAAAATACTTACCTAATAAGTAGAAACATGAGTTTGATTTTTGATGTTCATTTTTAGAATTTTTTTCCTTTTTAGGTAACATTATTTCAATACATGTTTTGATAAACACTACCATCACTAGAACATTTTCAAATATTTATTTTCTCTATCAAATTCACATAAATGGTATTTTATTCTTATTAGCAATTGAAACTGTTAAAAAGTACATTACCATTTTCATTTTAAACTATTGTTTCATTTCCACATAAAGAGCTATTTACTTATAAAAAGGAGATTCAAATCAGAATTAGAAACAAAAATACAAATGTGATTTCATCAGCTAAATGAATGCATTTGTTAAAACAAGGTTCCCTATTGTGTCCAGCCACTATCAATTAAATTCATGTGTCATTAAGTAAGTAATCAAAATACTAATTCCAATAGCAGCTTAGACAGATAATTAAAAAAAATATTTTAAAGCACTCAGTTGAGTAATACTTACATATAGATGGCTATTTTTTCCTCAATTAATAGGCCCATGATATTTTACTATTTGGAAACAAATTTTTACATGAAACAAATATATTTACTGGCAATTGTTTACTTACAGAGTATCCATGCATATAAATTCATATATGGTTGATCTTAATATTGTACATCTAACCACAGATAAGATACATATGTGTATATACACAAGCCAAAAAATATATACATACATATATCATATATCATGTAATTTCATTTCAGTAGACCAATCTAAATCTGTTTAAAGTAAAATAAAGATTGGAATGATCAAACATTGCTCCTTGATTTTTCTGATGGTTTGTAAAACAATCTGTGGGAAAGAAAAAACCAAATCTCTCAATTGCTACTCTACTAATTTAAAATTTTTCTTTCCTTTTTTGTTATTTTGGAAAACCATTATCTATATATTTGTGGCAAGCAGAGAAAATATAGCTAGAGTGGATCAGCCATATAGCACATGTGCCTCAATTTTATTAAAGATCTTTTAAAAATTTCCTTTCTGTTGACATTCTGAACCCAGAATGTATTTCTTCCTACGGCTTCTCCCAGGCAGCACAACAAGACAGTAGCTGAATTGCATCCATCATAGTTCCTGAGAATCACAAAGAGAAGTGGACAGCAAATATTATTCCTAGGAAGGTGTTCATTTTGGGAAAAAATACTAAGAAGTAGTGCTTAAATATGAAATTATGTTATATGAATAACACCACCTAACTATGAGTCAGAAAGATGGGGCAGTTCAGATTTTATCTAGGAAAAATCCCCTATCATAATATTTGCATTATATTTAAATAAACATTTCTAAAATTTAATATCTTAAAGTTAGGACAGCTTTATTTTGCCTTATAGTATCATTAGAAATCGCTCAGCATATAACTGCCTGTGGTTTTAAAAAATATTTTATTATTTATATGTATACAAGAACTGGGGTATGGGTCGGAGGTGTGGGGTGTTGAGAGGATTGACCAGAGAGAGATTGGGGAGCCAAAACTGCAGATCTATTGGAATACACTGCAGATGAACAGAAGAGGTCTGCTGTGCTTTGCGGGATAGAACTCTGGCCATCCCTGGCTGGTGATAGAACTCATGCCACAGTGACTTGTGACAGCTTGATAGTGCTGAGACTTTAACCCCTGCACCACCAGGGACCTGATCCCAGGACCTGAAAACCAAATGGTATGGGAAAAAGTCACTGCTAGAATATCTAGGAACTCAGTGATTCCCAGATCTGAGAATTAATATCCTTTCTACTCTCCACTGTATTTGTTGGAAAATATACTTCAATTCAGCAATCAAAATATGTACAAAAACTTGAATCTTTAATAGCTTCACCTACTCATAGTTAGGTTACATTACATAGATTACATAGTAATGTAAAAGTTTATATTCTTATGTTGCAATAACAGCCTTTATTTTATTCCTAGACCTGGCAGAGTTTCATAATAAAATAGATTACACTAAAAACGTTGGTTATACTTTAAAAGAATAAATTGTACAAATATATTTGTATGTGGATTTATGCTGACAAGTTTAATTGCAGATGTTTGACAAACATAATTTGGAAAATTTAAAGATATATTATGTTGTATATATTCAATAAACTCTCTTGTTCCTTCAGCTGCCTTTGGATTGATGGAATAATAAAATCTCTATTTAGAAATATTAAATATAAATTAGCTTGAGCAAATTGATTTTATCATATACAAGTTTTAAAGAAAATGTGCTAAAATGTATGAATATAATTCATCAATTGAAATTTGGGTTGGAATGATCTCTGCAGAATTTAATGTTATGTGAGAATTTAAAGTTCAACTCAATATCTTCATATTAGAGGTATTGAAAACAACTCTTAAATTATTTTTGACCAAATCTATCCAAAATCTTGTTCTTGTTTACTTTTCACTTTTTCCATAGATGACAGATTAGTCAAGCCCTGGAATGATCTAGTCAAAACTAGTCAATAGCCTAAAAATAACATCATTTTACTGGTGTCAGTCTATTCTCCATGATGTATCCATGTATTTGAAAAGCATGTCCATGCAGAGAACTTTAGTACACTGAATAGGGGTCAGCCCTTCTAGTCGTCTTGTAAGAAAGCATTCTGCAGCTCCATTTAAACATTTAGCAGAGGGACTGGGCATGAAAATTCAGTAAAATGTTTCAAGTTAGAAATAATTTCCTCCTGTATATATGTGTTTCATTATTGCAATAATATTACAAGTGATAAGAATGTTTGCTTTAGATGACTTTCATGATAAATTTGATGAGCGGAGGTTCTGAACTTTTAAAAAGGCACTACAGTGTTACTCTGCAGTAGTCTGTTTTAATTTATTTAATTGAATTCTTTGTGTCTGAAATAAAGGGAACCTTATGTTTATGTCTTTTCCCCTGTCTGTTCATATGAGTGTAATTTATTCCTTCACAAACAGTATCATGGTCCCTAAAATAGAAATGTACTATTTTGTTTGTTTTGTTAAACAGAAAAAAAAGGAAAATGTTGGTGACATTTTTTCACTGTTTTTTTCTTTCTACTCTATCAGATCAGTATGCATTCTGTCGATATATGATTGACATGTTTGTCCATGGGGATTTAAAACCAGGTATTGCAAATAATTCTTGTAATTGTCTGTTTTAATAGTTTTTGCTTCTAAGATTGTTAACATTTTATGTACTAAGTTGTATTAATTAAAACTAGAATACTGCATGTGTAGATTTAAAGTAGAAAGCCAAAGTAAAACACTAACATTGCAGGGCCTTAAATTTTACTTTGTTTTACTGCATGAGCTTTTGAAAATTAAGTCAGCTGAAAGCTTTGAAAAAAATGTGCTAATATCTTTATATACAAAAATTGCTAATATCTTAAATAATATCTTGAAGTGAAGAGGAACATCTCAACATTGACCAATCCCACTTTTTATATACTACTCATTTAGTATTATGTAAAATCTTTACTGTCTGTCTTGTTTAGTTGTGATGGTTTAAGAATGTCATACATTACCCATAGTTCTGCTTTCAGACCAACTATTTAATTGTACATGAGTTGATTCGCTAGTGTTTATGAGTTTAAGGGTTTTATTGATAAAATAAAAAGAAAGATAAATTTAATAACATGTATGCCTCCTGTGTACATGGAGAGACCATGAATTTTTAAATGTCATTATCTGAGGAAATACCTACTCTCATGATCTTGAAAGTGTATTGTTATGATGTATAAAAAAGTAAAGGTTATTTAGACCAGCATTTCTAATCTGGAAGTTGAAGGAAAGAGGTTGAAGGGGAAAAGTATGTATGGTGTGCCTGTCTTTTTTATGTCAGTCACCATATACAGCTTTAGAAGTATATAAAAGGAAAAAAAAAATCAGTATTATCTTTGTTTCATTATTGAGGCAATACATAAAATGGAGTGAGAAAGCACTAATGTGACTTGCATTTTGAATAACAAGGAATGAGAAAAAGATCCCATTTTGGCATATTAATTTAGAGAAAATGTAAGTGATAAGACTTTGACTCTGACTGACAATTAGAGAATAAAACAATTCCTGCCAAATTTATTGCTCTGCATGTATCCAGTATTTATAAAACATTTGTGCTTCCATCTGTTTCTGTTTGGGATTAGTGGAACACCTGTTATTGTTTAGCTAAAGTTCATTATTAATTATTGGTAATGAGTTTTAAAGCTATAATTTGATTTTTCCCTCTGGATAAAGTATTTTCTTTGTATAATAAATAATGTGACATCTTAAAAAAATAACCCAAGTTGCATATCAAATTTCAAAACTTGTTAATGTATATTGATACTATGACATAGACCTAGGTTTTTTCTCTTTATTACATCAAACAAAACTTCTAACTAAAAGTGACTTAAAAACTTTCAGTTAAAGTTTTGTCTAAATACCTGAAAATGAGCTGAATACATCTAATTTCCTGAAGTGAATTTATACTATTATAGGGTCAGCAATAATCCTACCACAAGGATAGAGACCATCTTAAACTAGCATTAACTATGAGATTCAGTTAATTTTGTTGTATCTACTGAAAATTTTCCTGCATAAATCACTCTGTATTGAGGTAATATTGATTTATTAAGCTGTATTAATTTAGGGACATAAATTAACATCATTTTAAATGTGTGTTACCATACAACCCTACCACCAAAGCACCCATAATTCTCCACCATTAGGTCCTGCACTGTCTTTGGAAGCCCCATTTCTGGTGACTATAAGCTGCCAACATAGAAGAAAACTGTCAGACTTTGTTTGCATTTGTAAGTTAATCAAATATATCTCATTGTCACTATAATTTATAAATGGGCAAAAGATGCTTCTCCAAAGGAGATAGTCATAGGTCAACAGGAACATGAAAAATGTTCAAAATCACTGAATATGAAGAAGAGAAAGTTATGAAAGGCATCCAAATTGGGAAAGAATAAGTAAAGCTGTCCTTATTTGCTGATGGCATAATATTCCCTGTTCTTGAACTAGAAGAATCAACACTGTCAAAATGGTCATTCCTACCAAAGCAATATACAAATTCAACACAATCCCAATAAAAATATTAATGGTACTTTTCAAAGAACTGGTGCAATACTACTGAAATTATATGGTATCACATATACACACACACACACACAAAACCCAAAAAAACCCAAATAACAAAAGCAATCTAGACAACGAAGAAGGAGAATGGAGTTACTACCCTTCCAGAAGCAAGTTTTATTGTAAATCCATGATAATTGAAACAGCCTGGTATGAGAACAAAAACAAACACACAGTTAATGTATAGAATTGAATTGAAAGGTCAGAAATAGACTCACATGTGTATGGACAGTTTATCTTTGACAAAGAAGCCAAGCAAATACCCTGGAACAAGAATAGCCTCTTAAATAAATGGAGTTTGAACAACTGAACAAATGTGTGAAATGAAATTAAACCATGACCTCACACCATACACAAAAATAAACGTAAATGGATCAAACACTTGTATGTAAAACCTGAGACTATAAAAATGCATAGAAGAAACCATGGGCAAAGCATTTCATAATATAAGCTTTAGTGACGCCTTGAGGAATTTGTCCCCAATAGTAAGGTAAAGTGGATATAAATGCTGTAACTTCAGCAAACAAAAGCTTCTGTATAGTAAATTAACCATAACTAAAATGAAAAGAACACCCAACTGAATGGGAGAAAATATTTGCATACCATATGCATGAAACAAAGGGCTGATATCAAAGAGCTACAAAGAATTCATAAAACCCTACAAAATAAAACAACTCAGCTTAGAAGTCAGCAAAAGAATTAAACAGACACTTCTGTAAAGAAGGCATTCAAATATTATACAGGCCTGTTTAATATTTGAAGCTGATGATCCCTACAATTTTGCTAGGGCTAAAGTGACTAGGATTAAATGTTAGTCATTTTCTAACATCAAACTATTCTAAACTGGTCAAGGCATATATCATTTGCAACACAGACTCAATTTATGCTGGTGTGTGTCTGTGTGCCATGATTGAGAGCATACATGGTCAAGATAAATTCTTTAGATTAATTTATCTTTATCAACCTTCTAGTACGTTCAATTTCCTTTTTAATATTTTATAGCTAGGCATATTTTTCTTAAGCTACAGTCATGCTGATGCTTTAATTCATTAGTTAGAATCTTTAAAAGAAATATCATCATCTTACTTGACATTTTCATATTCCTCTTCATCAACTTCCACCTGTGCCTAATGGATTATATGCATTGCTAGGCAAAGTCAACCAAGTTAAACAAGAGACATATTTTTATAAGTAAGGAATCACATGGTTCACAGGTTTCTATATATTCAGTGTAGATAAAGAAGTCAATTTAAATGTTCAGTACAAGGACTAGTGTGCTTTTACTTAGTAATTTTAGCAATTTTTTTTTTTTTGGTTTCTCAACCCTGTAGACATTATGATTAAATTTCCATACAAGTTAAAGTTTACCCCTTAGATGTTATTCCACCATTGAAATTCTAGCTTCTGCCTGACTTTTACTTGAGCCAAGAATTCATGTCAAGGTAATTTAATCTACTTTTGGTGTCATTTATCTTCTTAAAATTGAAGGTATTCACTTATGAAAATCTTCTCTAACTATAATAAGATGTTCTTTGGCAACCTGTATTCCAATTCTATGGATTTTAAGTCCACAGCCAGAAAGAACCTCAAGGAATAAGTTAATACTCTCATTTTATTAGGATCCTTTTCTTGAACTTCAGTAGTGCTTAACTATATTTTTGGTTTGATCTTGCTGAGAAGAGGTGAAATGTAATTGCATTATAGGTACTGTTATTTAATGGTTTAATCTAATGTATTTTAGGACTTAGTAGGCTATACTGGTAAGAACTCCATAAAATTGAGCCTTATTTAACTCTTCTTCAAAATATTGTGGTCCAAGTCAGACATAGCTTCATAAAAACATATTTATCTAAGTTTTAGCATCTAATTACTTTCACAAAACAAAAAGTTGGGAAGTTTAAATGTTTGCTTCCTAATTATTTGTTGGGTTCCACAGCAAATTGATAATCCAGAAGATAAAATGTGGCAAAATAATTTATAAATTAAGGATGATTTTATAAGTATTTAGGAGAGGATCAGAAAATGTATATAATAAGTTCACTATACAAGGAATAAATAGTTATTTCTACTTACTATCTAGACCTCTTAGTAATTATTTTTATATTTTCAACCATTTATTTTGTACAGGAGTCAAAATAAAGAGATGCTAAATATTGTGCTTAGACAAAGCAGATCAAGATGCTCATTACATGAATTCTCTATTTTGTGATTGTATATACTCCAAATTGGAAACATCTTCAGAAAGTAACCAATTTCATCAAAATCTACCTTGCATCTGCCATGAAAATACCAATTTTCTCATTTCAAACAGTTAATAAACTCTAGTATATCATTACATCTAATCTGCTACAACTTGCATCACCAAAATACCCCTGAATTTTTTAAAACTTATATGACTCATAATTTTGTTTAAAAGAGGATGTCATCTTCCATAATTGTAAAATATTTTCATTTTTTTAAGTTTATGAGAATTAATTGGAACTATTAATTCAAACATTTTATTTTTCATTTTTACATTGTTAACTTCTGATACCTGCTTTCACTTTTCTTTAGCATGTGTTAAAAATCACATAAAATAAAATAAAAACCATAGATTTTGCTAAACAAATTTTATAAAAGATAAAACAATACCATCCTTTTAACAACATGGGTTGGTCCAGGTTGTTTTCACAAACTAGTGCATGGTGTACTCTCACTAATGAAAGACAGACTAGATAAAAATGCCATATTTGCATTTTGTCCTTTGAAATGTGTTATTCACTTATTGATTATTGAGTTGGAGGAAGTTCATTGTCATCTGTAGTTTCCACCTGAGACTTCACTTGAGTGATCAATTTTGTCCTAATCATTATAATCATTAAAATTTAACATACCAAAGACTTTCTGTATTCACCTTCTGATTCATCTCATAACTGAAATATATATCTTCATCTGTTCACTTTCTTTCCTTTTTTTTTTTTTGGCAGTTATAGATAGAAAATAAAAATTCTAAATAGTGTTTAATG